GCTTATTTCAAACTATATAGGTTTTTCTTCAGCTTGCACACATAATCCTCTTTCCCTTTCACTTTGAAACCCTCTGGCTACTTCATATAAATCTCTTCCTCCAAATCACCATGAAGGAAGGCAGTTTTCACATCCATCTGCTCAACTTCCAAGTCAAGACTAGCTGCTAGGCCGAGTGCTATACGGATCGATGACATCTTTACGACTGGAGAGAAGATCTCATCAAAGTCAATTCCTTTTCTCTGACCGAACCCTTTGACAACCAATCTAGCTTTGTACCGTGGCTGTGAAGAGAACCCATTTGGCTTTTTCTGGTAAATCCACTTGTTTTCCAAAGCTCTTTTTCTTTTAGGTAGCTTTACTAACTCAAAAGTGTGATTATCATGCAATGACTGCATCTCATCTTGCATGGCCTCAACCTATTTTGTCTTGTGTTCGTCTTCTATGACTTCTGCAAAACACTAGGGCTCTTCCCCGTCAGTCAATAACACATACTGCTGTGTTGAATACCACGTGGAAGGACGTCCGTCTCTGGGAGACTTCCTAGATGGAATCTCTGGCGCTGTCAATTGCTCATCAGTCTCAACATCTCTCTGAACCTGTAGGGGAACATCCACATCACCTGTACAGTGGTGGTCATCCTGAACATCATTCTCAACCTGAGATAGCAGATTCTTCAGAGGAGCTGGATCCACATTAGTCAAGATATCACCTTGTTGAGACATAGATTTCCCTGCTTTCTTAATATCCTGAATCGTCTGATCTTCTACAAACACGACATCTCTGCTTCTCACAATTTTCTTCTCAACTAAATCATAAAGCTTGTACCCAAACTCATCTTAGCCATAGCCAAGGAATATACACTGTCGCGTTTTCACATCAAGTTTGGACCTTTTATCTTTTGGAATATGCACAAATGCTTTGCACCCAAAAATACGCAAATGATTATAGGAAACATCCTTACCTGTCCAAACTCGGTCTGGCACATCAAACTGTAGAGGAACACAGGGTGTAAGATTCAACACATGAACAACTGCGCTCAATGCCTCCCCCCAAAAGGATTTTGGCAACTTGGCTTGTGAAAGCAAACATTTCACTCTCTCAACCAGTGTCCTGTTTATCCTTTCTGCTACGCCATTCAACTAAGGAGTTTTCGGAGTTGTCTTTTGATGCCGGATACCCTACTGTCTACAATACTCATCAAAAGGACCAGAATACTCTCCGCCGTTATTAGTACGAATGCATCTCAGTTTCTTCACAGTTTGTCTCTCAACTATGGCTTGAAATTACTTGAACACTGCTAACACTTGGTCTTTTGAATTCAAGGTATATACCTACAACTTCCTTTAATGATCATCTATGAAGATCACAAAGTATCTGGAGTCACCAAGTGTTCTCGTCTTCATAAGGCCACACACATCTGAATGTACCAAATCCAGTATCTCTGACTTTCTCGAATGAGGGGAATTCTTGAAGGAGACTCTGCTCTACTTCCCTGACAAATAATAAGTACACCTTTTCATAAGTGTACTTTTCAGTCCACATAGTAGACTTTCCTTCCCTAGTAGAGCTAATCCTTTCTCACTCATGTGAGCCAGTTTCTTGTTCCACAACTCTGTTGTATCATTATCCTCTATCGCATTAACAATGTCGTTGGAGATCTTTGCTTACAGAACATACAATGCAGAGTGCTTCATGCCTCGAGCCATAACCATAGCACCCCTAGTGAGTTTATACTGGCCATCACTGAAAGTATTGCAATACCCTTCATCATCAAGTTTACCTATAGAAATCAAATTCAAGCGAATGTCAAGAATATGCTTCACATCTCTAAGAACTAACCTCGTGCCATTATTCGTCTTCAGATACACATCCCCAATTCTAATGACTTTAACCAAGCCATCGTTGCCCATCTTTACCGTTTCAAAATCACCAGATTTATAAGATATAAAGACATCTTTTCGAGATGTAGCATGAATGGAGGCACTACTGTCAATCACCTAACTAGTCTCATAGTATGCAACATTTATCGTCTCATCATCATAAACAATGAAGAAGTCTGCAGGAGTGGTGGTAGCAACTCTGTCATCATCATCTTTGTTATCTCCATTCTTCGTTCCCTTCCCTTTCTCATTCTTATTTTCTTTCTTCAATTGCCTGCAATATTTCTTGATGTGTCACTTTTTCCCGCAATGATGACACTCAACATTTGCAAACTTGTTGGACTTGTTTCTATTATTATCTCTTTTCTTCGTACCTCTGCTCTTACTTCTCCCCCTCTTTTCTTTAACCAAGATCTCTGATTGTGAAGAGGATCCCTGTGTTTTTCTTCTCATCTCTTCATTTAGCAAACAACTCTTGGCCATATCCATTGTGATTACACCTTCTGGAGCGATGTTAGACAATGAAGTTCTGAGCGTCTCCCACAAGTCCGGTAATGAACCAAGCAACCATAACCCTTGTATCTCATCATCAAACTTAATACCCATTCCAACCAGCTGATTAATAATTCTTTGGAATGTATTCAGGTGATCAGATAAAGGAGTCTCGTCCTGGTATCTCAAAACCATCATCTGCTTAATCAGAAACAATTTGTTATTTCCAGTCTTTCTAGCATATAGCTATTCAAGCTTACTCCATAGAGAACGTGTATTTGTCTCTCCACTAATATGGTTCAAAACATTATTATCTACCCACTGCCTCATATACCCAACACCTGTCGATGTAACAAAGTCCATTCGACAACAGACTTGTTTTTTGGTTTTTCAGCACTAAACACCGGTAGGTAATAATCTTTCATATAAAGAAGATCTTCCATTTTTCCTTTCCATGTGTGATAATTTGAATCATTGAGATTAATCATTCTACTCGTATTTGCTTCCATAACTCAAACTGCCAACCTGGCAATATGTCAACCTGGAGCTCTGATACCGCTTTGTTAGGAGAGATAACAATAAACAAATACAGCGAAATAACTCTTCTCCCTATATGCAAGCAAATATAGTGTATCTCTACTTTTATATGTGCTGAAAATAATAGAGAAAAAATTCAATCACACCAAGCCACAAGAACACAAGCAATTTTTTACGTGAAAAACTTTCTCAGTGTGAGGAAGAAAAACCACGGGACCTAGTCCAGTTAAAATCTCCACTATCAACCAAATAATGGGTACACAAAGTCTTCTCTAATCATAATTAGAGACTACAATACATCTCACCAAGATATCACCAATCTTGGCAAAAAACAAAGAGAATTGGAGAGAAAATACCAAAAATCCGGTTACTGTTTATGGGCACGAATCACTGTTCCCGAGCTCAAAATCTGATCTCCACCATTCAGATTTTAACTCATTAAGTCGTGAACCTCTCCTCCAAATTTTAGCTCGATTAGACCACGGACGAAGCGGGATCAGAGGTTTGATGAAATCTGGGCAGTATATGGAAAAACTGCGTTTTTCCTCTCTCTCTTGTGGAAGTTACGGCTGATCTTCCTATCTTTTTATTCTGATTTCCTTAGGGTTCTTCACCCTAAAGAGCTTGGCTTTGGGCTTTAATAAAACCTACTTGGATTTTTCTCCATATAGAAGGAAATAAACCCAACAATATTGTCTTCTTTAATTAATAATAGTGAAATCCCTCTCTTCATTGACATAACTTAGAGTTGAGTGAACTATGTAAAATACTATATTGTGATTAGATGTATATGATTTTTATCTTCATATATGTTTGTCTTGATGCATGTGATGAATAAGAAATATTTTAATACTCAACAACATTTGACGGTTGACGGTTGAGTGTTGAGTTGGTGGAAGAGAATTAATTTCTCCAACAATTTGTTCCTAATTTGGTGAAAAAAAATCCTGACCGTGGTCAACTGTATACTTATGCCATCCATCTTCAAACAAGCTATTTTTCATGCCTCCTGGATTATTGTCTAGCTAGAGATTCAACTCTGCAGTACAAGTATTTCAAACAAACGTACAATAACTTTTAACCGATAGTAATTAGGCTAAATCTCAAGAGACCTCGAGTTAATTTACCTAATTTTTAAGATTAAGCTAAGAGCATTGAGGTAAAATTTGGACTGGCAAACAGGACTTTTTATTTTTATTTTAACAATATCTTTTTTCTCTACGTATAGACACACATTACGTGAAAGTAATAAGTGGCTTATACTTTGGGGCTTTGGCACATTTTTCATAGTAAAAAAATAAAATAATAGTGGCTTGTACACATTGGAGTGTGGAACTTAATCACATTTCTGCACATACACTAGGATATAGTATATATATGTGTATGTATAAATGCCCTATGTTATATCATACATTCAGAGAAATGGATATGGCGTGATGAGGTGGTACTGCAGAAACCCACCACTACAGGAAAACCAAAATGAGGGGCAACAAATATAAAGGGAAAATGGGAGAAAGAGAGAACCAAAAAATCAACAGCTGTAATCAGATGTCCGTTAGTGTGAGCCTTTTCTCTCTCACCTCTGTTGAGTTTTGTGGTTTCTTGCTGTTCCAAGTCCTTGCCTTGTATGATATATCTAGTCCCCCTCCATTGCCTCTCTCTCTCTCACACACACACACACACTACACCCACAATGCCCCTCTATCTCTCTCTCTCATGTTGCTATCTCATCTCTCTCCATTGCCACCACTATTGTTAAAGGGCTCACGAAACGAGGTTGAGGTCATTCCCTTTTCGGGACTCATTTCGTTCTCTCTTTAAGCCTTCTGCCACACTCTTTTGTCCTTCCACGTTCCATCATCTCAACTCTCTAGAAAGAGAAACAAAATACATGAATATATATAGACACGGACCTTATAAAATAGTCCCATTCATTACTGACCCTTTTGCTCTTCCATCAGATTTATTTCACATCTCAATCACCAAGATTCAGCACACACTTCACTATCTACTCTCTCTCTCTCTCTCTCTCTCTCTCCTCCATCTTTTTCTCTCAAATTCTCACACCCCATTCTGAATTTCCACATTTAAGAAATGGGTTGTGGTCACAATTTCATTTGTAGCCATAGACACCTCTATTTCACCATTTCTTTTCTGTTTCTCTTCATTTCAAGCTCTACCCAACTCAGATTTATTGCTGCAGGTAAATGGGTAACACTTAGATTTTGAAATACACACACATATATTCCAGTTAATTAGCATCTCATAAAGTACAATTTTGTTTTTGCAGGTAGAACAATAGTGAAACCAATTGGTCGTTCACAGGTGAGAACTTGAGTCTCTGACTCTCTCGTGTAGAACGCGTTGCTGATAATTATGAATATCGTTTGAACTGCCAGAATGTCAACAGAAAAATATGGCAACACCCTCTAGATCACTCCTTTTTTTTTTTTAATGGTAATTTTCAAAATAGCTAACAAATTTTGGTTTTTTTTTTTTTTTTCTTTGACTTGGATAGATAGTAGAGGAAGAGAAGACGATTTTGAGAGCACAGATTGGTTCAAGACCACCAAGGTGTGACAGGAGATGCAGTTCATGTGGGCACTGTGAGGCTATTCAAGTGCCTACAAATCCCCAAATAAAGAATGGAAGCAAAAACTCATCTTCAGTGTCTAACATCGACTATTCAAGAGGTGATAACTCCAATTACAAACCCATGAGTTGGAAGTGCAAGTGTGGCAATTCTATCTTCAATCCTTAATCAAATATTGTATTAACTAATTCGCTATATATATATATTAATTAATACTCATTTCAATCTTGTACATTGAGTGATATATTCTGTTTCTTTTGCTGAGGAAAACAAGACATACATGTGGTGTATTCTCTCTCTCCTTTAGTTCTGTAAGATCGTGATTGTCATGCACTAATGATAATATCATTACCTTAGTGTGTGTGTGTGTGTGTGTATATATATGTATATGTATGTACAACATGATTGTTTTCTTGATTTGTTTCCTTTACTTTTCTGATATTGGGTCAGAGATTCTTCACCATCCATACAAAAAAAAAAAAAGTGATTTCTTATACTTGTGTATACAAAAAAAAAAAAAAAATTGAAAAAGGTACGTATTCATTTTTTGCAGTACAATATGGAGAAGAGCAAATGTATCAGTAAAGTAACATATACTGCTAACTAAACTGAAAAGGGGGCATTACTCTTTATAAAATAAGGACAAAAGATTTTAGAACAATAATTGCCCTTCTCGTTTTTAAAATTTAAAAATATAAAGTAAAAAAATAAAAAAGGTAAAGTAAAACAACGACACCAACAGCCCATGGGGTTTGCCATAAGAACACACAGATAAAATTTATCTATTTTTTGGACAAAGAAATCCCTTAAAAGTTCAAAAGTGGACAAGGATACCCCTGACATGAGAAATTGATCAAATTATCTTTTGACCGAATAGGAGACCTGTTTAACTTTACAATTTTAAAAATTGGACCAATCTACCCTAATGAACAATTTATGCATAAAAAAAAAAAAAAAAATCGGCAGTCTCTTCTCAGACGGCGGACTAGACCCTACTCAGATCCATACTCCGAACTGGGTTGTTCAAACTCAAGTCTTCAACCATGCCCAGAACCGTATCCCGATCCCTCCGGTTCCAGCCTCTGGGCATACCCACCCCTAAATTCTAAATCTGTTCTTACCGCCGTTCAGATAGTAAACGCAATAGCATAGCTCCAGCTCAGCTCCGGTTCTACCTATATTAGATGCGATGGCTCCCGGACCATCCCTAACTCCGATGCCTGCCCCTGGACTGGGAGGACCTTACAACACTTCACCGCCGATCTGCTTGTCTTCTTCATCAATATATGGCATCTTCGATCCGCCACATAATCCGCAGTCTGATTGTTTCGCATAGTAGTCTCCGGCGGAGGATGAGATCTTCGTCTTCTTTGAGTTTCTAGCGTCGAAGAAAGAGTTGAGGAAACTCACAATCCCGCCCGGCGAGATCGGTTGCTTCGGCTTTTTCAAATCGCCAATTCTCGACTTCGTCTTCTTCACGAAATTACCACTTGCCTTTTTTTTTTGTGTTCTTGATGATAATTATCAAACCCTTTGATATATATATATATTTATACATATATATAATGAAAAAGGGCTTTATAGAGAGAGGAGGCATAGGAGGAGGGGAGAGAGAGGTGTCAGAGAGATGAGACTTGTGAGGGAATTTGGGTTTTTTCTGGAGGTAATTGTGTCTTTTTAATAATATGTTTAATATTTTACAATAAATCTGAATTTAATATTAAAGGGTAATTTTGTCTTTTCAAGGGATTTAAGGTCTTGTTTGGTTGGAGTTTTGTATAAGGGGGTATCTTTGTCTAAAAAACATGTAAGTTTCATCATTTGTTTGTCTTTTTAGCAAATCTCAAGGGGTGTGAGTGTACTTTATCTAAATAAAAAAATTGTTAATTTTCTTTTTTTTTTTAAATTTAAAATTCAAAATAAACACATCTATTTATCATTATATTACATCGATTGTGAGAAGAGAAGCATTGCTCATGTAATTATATCACATCAATTGTGAGAAGACAAGCATTGTTCGTGTTATTACGATGGAGGATGGAACAAATTAAAATGCAGCACTTATGACATTTTCTTACTTTATATGGTGAAAGTTTAAAAGTTTAAGTCTCTTTTTTAAAAAGTAATAAAAATTTATTCTATAGAAATTAAATTTATGGGTAAAATATAGTCACACCCTCTGAGATTTGGCAAAAGGACACTCAGATGAAACTTATCTGTTTTTTGGACAAAGATATCCCCTTTACATGAGAAATTGACTAAATTACCCTTTGACCGTTTAGGAGACTTTTTTAACTTTATAATTTAATAAATTGGACCAATCTACCCTCATGAACAATTTATGCATAAAAAAAAAAGTTAAAAAAAAAAACTTTATATTGTTCACTTTTTTTTTTTTATTTACTTTATAAATGTCCCACCCAACTTCTTAAAAATGTAGACGTCTAAAATGATTTTTTGATCCAATACATATATTTCAAATAAATTATATTTTTGTTATTACTTTTTTTCTTTTTCATTAAGATTCTTAATTCTTTCATCTAAAAAAATTAAACCAATCTCTTTTCCTTAAAAATAAAAAATATGGTACCAGTATAACTTTATGCATCTTAAATTATATATCAAATATTATGCATTTCCCAACATAAAAGAAAAAATAATAATAAAACCGGGGGGGGGGGGGGGGGAACAAACAAACAAACAAAGGCATGCATAAAGTTAAGTTGGTACCTATTTTCTTTTATATTAGAAAATGCATAATATTTGATATATAATTTAAGATGCATAAAATTATACTGGTATCATATTTTTTATTTTTAAGGAAAAGAGATTGGTTTAATTTTTTTAGATGAAAGAATTAAGCATCTTAATTTAAAAATAAAAAAGAAAAAGAAAAGAAGTAATAACAAAATATAATTTATTTGAAATATATGTATTGAATCAAAAAATCATTTTAGACATCTACATTTTTAAGAAATTGGAACATTTAAATAAAATAAAAAAAAAAATTTTTACTTTTTTTTATGCATAAATTATTTATGAGGGTAGATTGGTCCAATTTATTAAATTGTAAAGTTAAAAAAGTCTCCTAAATGGTCAAAGGGTAATTTGATCAATTTTTCATGTAAATGGGTGTCTTTGTTCATTTTTGAATCTTCAGGAGATATCTTTGTTTAAAAAATAGGTAAATTTTTTTTTTTAGTATTCTTTTATCAAATTTCAGATAATGTGCCTGTATTTTACCTAAATTTATTAAGTGTGGAAGATGTGAGCTTTGTGCAGCATTGAATTTGCAACAGGGGAGTACCATAAATACTAGGAAGTACAAATCTTCACTACACCAGGGTCCAGGAAGGATCTTGATCCGGGAGGATTTGGTTTACATATATATACTCTCTCACAGTGTGTATATATATAAATATATATACATATATACACACATGTATATATCTCTGATACTCTGACTTAATCACAGGCACCGTTAAGTCATCACAACAACAGTCTTTTCAAAATATAACAGTAAACAAATGAAGCAGAGATTACTTAATAATAGGTCATAGACCATGTGGCCAATTTCTGGTTGTCTGCTTTGATTTCTTGATTTCAAGAAATCCTAACGTCCCCAAGTTCCATACCATAATGCCTTGAAAACTGGTACTATCTGAGAGATGGATGCAGGAAACTATTATTATTGAGGAGGGTTGATTTCCTTTACTGCAACCAATCTTTTTGTCACCATTTCAAGTTGTGAATCAAAAGCAAAAGCAGTTGTTTTTATCAATTTAATACTTAGAAGTACTGAAGCAAAGCTTTGATGAGCGCTCAGGCATAGTAAGTCTCACAACAGATCACAAGTTAACCCGGATCCCTCTTGCTCAGGGGATTCTGTGCACTTGTTCGATCTGTATCATTACTACTCTCTTTATTCTATAAAATTTGTCCGATTTAAGAAATGTGACTTTGCCTTCCCATAAGTTCGCTTTGTGAATCACAATTTCAGAATGAATGAGTTTTATAGGACGGAGGAAGTACATACATAATTCAACAGTTACATCACAAAACGTAATATTATGAAATAGAATAATGATTTAATGATCAAATTTAATAGTTATCGAATTCAATTTATGTAAGTATAGTTATAAACCCTACTATATGATGTCATCGTCATGTGATGAGATTCATTTCAGGGACCGAACCAGAATTTAATTTCATGGGGGCACAAAGTAATTTTTTATAACTTATATACTTATATGTAAAAAAAAAAAAAAAAAAAAAAAAAAAAATGGCCGAAGCTTGTTTTAGAAATAAATTTTTTATAGGGGGAAGAAGTAATATTTTACAACTAATATACCTAAATATATATATAATTTAATGGGCCAGCTTGAGCCCAAGGGCAGCCACAGACCTGTAAGGGGACCACTCGCTCTGGATTTTTTTTTTTTTTTGTATTATATACTTGATTTTTTTTTTATATATATATTTTTTTCTTTTCTAAAATTTCAGAAATGCCCCTCACTATATTAGTTACCAAAATATTATTTTATCTCCTTCACACTTTGGTTCTCTCATCTCTGCCTCCTCTGATATGTCAGACAATATAATTTCAGCCTTCAGGCCTTCTGCCTTCAGCAGTTCTTTCCATCACCAATTAGCCCCTACCTCATCCGGCAATCAATGTCTCTCTCTCACATACACAACACCCACAAATGCACTACCCACTTGCAATTTGTTATTCTAGTTGTTATAAAAGGCAGCCCCCTCACATAATTTTATAGGTCTGTCACTATCCAAGGGAGCCTAAGCGGTTCCGTCCCTGATGGGACCCATCACTCCTCTAACATAATTTGAATTCGGTAACTGAATTCGATCCTAAATTACTAGTTTAAAATAATAATGATGTAGCGTAGTTATTGTATAAGGGAAATAAAATTGTTAGGTTAGTGATATTAAAATACAAGACATACATAGGAGGAAAATGACAGGAAAGAGGATCAAAATTGAAGTAAAGTGAGCTCCTCATTATTATTTTGAACGTTAAGCATAAAAATTAAAAAAATTAAAAAATAAAAAAGATTTTACTTGTCCTTTTCTTTTTGTTGGTTGATACTACCTGTTGTGCCAGTGCAGTTTCTTAATTAACGTTATGTATTAATTTGCTCATTACTATTTGCTGAAAAGGTTTAAGTACAATAAAGATTTCACAGGTATTACTAGATATATGTTGTGATTGTTGTGATGGCAATAGAAGTTAGTGTCCTAGCCTCCTAGGG